TCAGAGGATGATTCTTTTGAATATCCTGCGTATGAACAGTTGATTGCTGCGTTACGTGCCCTTCCTACTGAAGGTGGTAGTATCTTTCCGCGTCGAGATGTTCATTTTACCCGTTTCTCCACTCCATGTGGACTCTCTGATTTTACATCGTTCCAACGACATGCTCTTCTTGACATGAACGTTTAAAAATGACTTGCCTTTCGTCGGTATCACAATGGTGTTGTCAGGAGAATTCAGGCAGACACTACCCTGTTATCCCCAGAGCTGGACCTGCTGAAACCATTTCAGCATCTATTAAGCGATCGGTTTTGTGGACGAAATTTGAACGTCTACGCCTCTCCATCAATTTGAGGTGCATACGTCCAGAAACCCTTTAACAAGCATTTTCAGATTATTTTTTACAGATTGGTGATGGAACACACGAAACGTCTTCAGAACTTGACACCGACTACATCCAAATCCCACTGGGTATTCTCCTTGACATTACGGCCCAGCTGAATCTCCACTCAATGAGGTGGCCAGTATCACAGATAAACTGTCATTGTTGATTGACAATGTGTACTCTGACTTCAACAAGGGGGATCAACCTGACAAATATTTCGCGGATAGAATTACTTTGACCCAAAGAACCCTGATGTTCTCCGCATCAACGAAAAGATTCTCCAGAAATTGCCTGGACAGTCCATGGTGTATCAGTCCGTTTTATGTCTCGATGGAGATGATGAGCTACAACGACAAGAACACAGTGATCTGTATCCTCCCGCGTTGTTGAACAATATTTCTCTGAGTGGCATTCCACCCTACAAACTGAAACGTAAGGTTGGCGACCTGTTATGCAGATCACAAATCTCAACACCAAGGAAGGACTATACAATGGCACCAGATTGCGAATTATTGAATTTCGAGCTAATTGCATGAAAGCATCTAGTATAACTGGTGGGTTTTCTGGAAAAGTGGTGTTAATTCCTCGCGTTACACTCATCAGTAAAACTCAGGTTTCCCGTTTGAATTGTGGAGGAAGCAGTTCCCTGTTCAAGTCGCGTTCGTGATGACCACCAAAAAGTCCCAACACCACTATATTCAATATCTTGGTCTCTTTCTTCCAGAGCCAGTGTTTTCACACGGCCAATTCTACGTTGTAATATCTCGGGTTACATCTAGAGCAAACATTAAGATTATAACAGACAACCCAGTTGTGGTGGATGAGGACGTATACACAAAAACATATTGTGTACGTGGAGGTATAACTATACGTATTAAGCACAGTTCTTAATTTTCCTAAATATTCACTTTATATTAATTTCTAGATTTCTGATTTTACCCCGCCGAGCGAACCGAGGCGGCCAACAATACATGCTCGACTTAACTTGCGCTAAGGGCCCCGCTTGCGGGGCTCCGCTTGTCTTGATTTTCTATACCATCTTATCAGGTTATAACATCTAAAGCAATATTCGCCAAATAAAACTATTCCGTTCATTTCTGGTATGATCGAAATTGGGGATTTTGTAGTTTCAACCGGAACGGACACTTATATTGGGCTTGAGTTTTTTTATTCTTACTTATATACGTAAGCTACACGACGGCTGGGATAGAAATTATATATCTCAACATCGCGGAATCCCCGCCATGTTGACAACATATCATCATTCATATCGTAAGAATATCTGCACAACGCTATTAGATGATTTTATAAGCATCATTAAGTAGTAACAGTAGCATGAAAGGACTTACGATTGCAGTCGAATTGGTTCTACAACATTCGAAAGCCAAAGTAATTTAGCCAAATATAGTCAGTTTGGTTTTCAATGTACCTTGTATATATTACCTCGAAATTCGAACTAGAAGCGCATAGCGCAACTCTTGCGCTTGCTACCGTAGCATCTGCGCTGTTTTCACCAAATTGAATTATGAACTCCCGAATTGTCGTTCCCGTTTTAAGATTGACGGATATAACAAAGCATAGAATTCCCTACCAAAGAACAAACCCATGAAAATACACCGGTAATTACCGCTGTGGATTCATATACTGTTATGGCGCGGACTTGGCCCGGACACGAATATAATCCCCTGTAGGCTGTCCCACTCAGCACTTTGTCGTTTCTTATCCCAGTAACATCTACATTGACTTTTGAAGGGCTTTAACACCGATCCTCTGTACGTAGAAGGAATACTGGTTCAGTTGGTAAAAGTCCGGAAAGCCGCGAAAAAAATAATTTGAGAGCATATGCATCTGTGATTCAACATTAAAACGCTGTAGTTTCACAGCTTTATCTATCTATGCAGCGGCGTTGTTATACCTACATGCTAGGTAACTCTATTACTTCAAAGTAGTTACGAATCAAACAGCCGGAACGATTACTACGAGTCCTGGTAATTAAAGGGTTAGCCTTTAACCCTTTAACCCTTTAGCGATCACGACTCGTAGAGATCCGCACAGCCCTTTACATGGATGAGAGACACGGAGGCCTCCCCATTTGATAAAATATCTATCTAATGTTGCCGTGAAGTTGTTGCAACGTAAGTTAGGGTCTTATTGGATCACTACGACATCATCATCTGACGTCACATCATCATTCAAACCCATCCATATAAGACTATCACAGGTTATCACCCCCTCTGCTTCACTTCCACAGATTCAGTGCGAGTAACAACTATTGGCACGGTGCTGTCGAGAGGAGAAAGGGTGGTTGACGATGCTGAAAGCGACTCGTCCGACTTGCTTCGCACAAACACAGACATATTACACGTAGTAAAAGAGAACGTGGATGATGTCGCTCCAGACACACAAGCGAAGAGATGGAGATCTCTCCGCCGAGAAGTACCCACGTCACCACAAGTACGCCACTGCCGACACCATCTGGAGACACCTTCTAACCCAGATATCGCGAAGAAGTACATGGATTTAATATGCGACGAGAGCAGCCTTCACGTGGCAATATCAGATCAAGGCCAACGCAAGGACAGAATAGAGAGTATTTTGTTGTTTTAATTGCGGATTTCAAAACTCGGCTACGTATGTAGACTTCGAATGTGCTAGTTAGAGATGGACACACTGTCATTACTGAAATCAAATTCAATGCCTACTTGGGGCTTGAAATCTCTATGAGTATGTGTCATCTAAATCAAATAGCAGCGTTTTGGTCGAAGCGCCTTTTTCTGGTACAAAGAGTATTTATGGAGACGATGTCAAGGAACAGCGTTCAAAAGATTTACGGGGCTCTTAATCTTTACCCACCTGAACATCCTTTATTTGACACAGAGCCGGGTCATGATGGACCATTTTCAACAATGCTTTGCCGAGTTTGCCGTAACGGTTGGAGTTAGCAGTATTGATGATATGCCTGTTCGTACAAAGGCTTGGACACGAGCGAGGTCTTCCATGCCGTCTAAATCAGAAAAGAATGGAATTCGTTTCTATGCAGTCGTTGGATGGAGCTCGTTATGTGTGCACTCGTTGTGTGATATTTCATCGGGAAACAACATGCCTTTCACTCCTGCAGAGCGCAATATCAGTTTATTTCCGATAGTGAGAACTCCCATATCTAATACGCTGCAATCCGATGGTGCGGGCATCGAGCATGACTCGGCAACAGCGATGTGGATCGCAATGGAGGGAAATCAAACTTGAGTGTTGGAATCTTCTATCCGTTATCGACTAGTTGTATTATTTGACTTGTACACGCATCATATTTTTACCAATGCGTTGCCAAATTCACGGATGAGGAAATGCACTTGTTGTGAACAGTCAGGATCATTCTCGTAGATACCTGGAACAAACCTGTTGTGAGAGCTACTGCGGAGCGTGTAGATGGCAAACGAGGTGGATGGAAGTTAGTAACAGCCATAGATCCTGAACCGGAAGAGAAGGAGAAGAAGCGAGTTCATGATAATGCTCAGCGTCGAGTTACCAAAGCAAAGCGGACTGCATACGCACAGAAAATGATCAAGGCAAAGCAAGCGGATTACACCATCTACAAGGATGGTCGCGATGTAATCTTTTACTCCAATGACTTGAAAGCCACAACTTCTGAGTTGACACTACCTGATATTTTGCCCGAGGATGGCTCTTACTGTCATAGTACATACCGTAGTCAAAGATGGGCTAAGAAAAGCATTATGCATTGTAAGGTATACATGACACAGACTGTTATCCCTGCGTACAATCTTTGTATGAACGCAGTTGATCGATGCGGTCTTCAAACCCAATGCGACGCCGCGATGTACGCCTCGGTATGTCTTCCTCACTTGGATGACGGACCATGCAATTATCAACTCACGCAATCTACTCAAAACAGCACGACCAAATAAAGTAAAAAGCGTTGTATTATGTGAGTTCAAACGTCGAATGGCAGATCCTTACTTCCTGTGAGAAACAAAACAAGCGGCGACGCGAAAAGCAGCAGAAACGCGGTAGGAGAATTTCGAAGGAACTATTGGAATGCATACGTCATTGCACATGAACACCCCGAATTCAACTGAACACTGTAGTGGAAATCTGCTCTGTCATCTGTACAGCAGGCCAAACATCAAGAAAAGTCACGAAACGGCTGTACGAAATGTGCGGTTGGTTCCACATGGATTGTATCACAGCATTCCATAACCAGCACGTGCTCAAAACCTCAAGCCAGCTACGGTCGGCCCATGAAGCAAAATGCGTGTCATCGTTAGCAGTTCCTGTCACCTTCACACGCAAAAAACAAAACTGAATAATTACACCCGTTGAGCAACTAAAGGTCATAGATCCATATCCAGAATTCAGGTGTACATACCTTTGAAATGCGGTGGGGCCAATACTCTTTAAAATTACGAGCTATGCCTGCGGAATCGTGTCGTGTAGACTGCCACCAGTGTTGTAGAGGTACAATCGACACAGCGTACTATTTTGTGTCTATTGTATTGCAGTTGCTTTCGCTGCAGTTTCGCAGCCACCTGCCACAGCTCGAAACTTCAGTTCTTCCAGTCATAAGGCACTTGGCCACATCAACAACATAGTTCGTTGCTTACGGGTTCCATGGACTCTCTGTGACCACCACCTTCCACACGACAGGCCCATTACCTTGCTTCCAACACACACGGAAAGTGGCGTACAACGCCGGTAGCAGCACCGACAGGAACGTCTTGAAAAGTTCGTGTCCAACGCCGTCGATGCCCGGGCTAGACCGGGCCTGAGCACAATGCACCGCGTCCTCAACTTCATCCGTCGTGATATCGTCTGTGAGCGCTGCTATCTCCGCCGTGGGGGCGACATCGAAACCAACCGTTGACGGAAAGGCTCGCCGGCCTTGTCGTCGAAGTTGAACTGTCGCGATGTCCCTGGAAATACTCGTGCATATCGGCCTGTGGGAGCGGGCAGCGCGTCGGGGCCGTCGGATTTCGTCGCGCTCTCGGGGTCTGTCGTTGTCTCGGCGAAGATATGCTGCATGCACGCCTTCGCATGCGTGCGAAACGTTTTGCGTAACACAGCGCGCTTCATCGCAGATCGGATACGTCCAGCACGTCGGCGTGCCTTCCGGATCGCTGGCTGGGTGGAGTGGCGGTCGCGTTGCAGGGAGTTGAGATGATCAAGCGCCTCGTTCAGGCGTTCGTTGCGAGGCGTTCCAGGTGGTCTCCGTCTTCCTCGATTGCGTGTAGGATACTGGGGTCGTGGCCGGGCTTGTGCTGGCTGCCGGTGTCGTTGTGCGAATGGGAGGAGGGCAGTGTACACTGCCGGCGTGAGTGCGGCAAGATAGCCTTCGGCGGCCTCCCAGTCGTCCCCATCGTACAGCTTGTCGGAAAAGGCGACGCCAACACGCTGCATGGCCGCCTTCGCTGCATCCAGGTCACTCGCGCTGAGGTTACTGCGTAATTGTAGGCGTGGTTGACGAGCAGGCACACTATCCGTCGAGACCGGTAACACTGGGAACGTTCGGCCTCTGTCTCGGCGTACGATAGCTGCAGTCGCCTCGGCCGCTTCTGTGCCATCCATCTCCGTTTCGTGGGAATCTGCTCGTGGCTCACTATCCGTCCTCGATTGTCGGGGACGGGATGGTGTCATCGTCACCTGTCTCGATGCGGTGTGTCCGTCACAGTTGATTCCATCAATCCCGTGGTCGGCGCATTCTACGCGAGTACGGCGCCCATCCAGGACTGTGTTTGCAAGTCTGTCGGTTTGCTTGTTCTCCTGGCGATCAACATGCTGGAGTTCGTAGGAATCGAACTGGCGTAGGATCTTCCACACCTTGTTGCGCAATTTGCGCAGCCGAGAGTTATTGCACGCGTAGCGACCGCGTACTTGTTCCAACACTAGAGCACTATCGCCGTGAATCACAAGTCGCCGGGCACCATGGTGTAGCGCACCACTCACACCCTCGATGAGAGCGTTATACTCCGCTGTATTGTTGGTATGCGTCGTGCTGCTAAGATACCACGCGATAGTCCAATGACAGCGCTGCTCAGGGTCGAATAGGGCGGCTCCAGCACCGGCTGCAGCACCAACCGCTAACGAGCGGCGGCAAGCTCCATCGAAATTGAGCAGCCATGTGGGCGGCTCGGTCTGGTCTTGTGTTTCTACCGGAGGTTCAGCGCCGGTGGCAGTCCCGTCGTGTTCTGGTCTAGATCGTGGGTCCTAGGTGCAGTAGCCGTCGCTGGAAGTACACCCGAAGCCGGAGCAGAAGAGCCCAGGGTGATCAGTACTGGTGTCGGGCTGGGCACTGTCTCCACTGCAGTCGCTGACGCTTCCGCACCCTCTCGTGTTGGATTGGGCGTTGGGGTGCTTGGGGTTACGGGTGGAGCTGGAGAAGTTGTCGTGTTCCACGTCGCAGGTGTCGGTGTGATGGTCACACTAGTCGCGGGCGTGTACGCCAACATGCGGTGCAGGAATGGTCATCGGCACATGTCTCATGTTAACGTCAGGGTCATGGGTCGGCGGGTGTGGGGGTTTCACACGCGTCATTTGCTGCCACGCGCCGGTGGTGGCGTCGTCTTGTTCTGTGGCCTGCGTGCTGAAAAACGGAGAGGTACACGAGGGAGAGAGCGACGTGCACGCCAGGGCCTGTTGGAAAGAGTGGTTGTGGCTGAGTCTGATGGAGGACTACGGCGTGTCACCGTGGATCCTCCTTCAGCTGCCTGTGTGTCTGCTGTTAGTTGTTGCGTCGACGGGCGTGCGGTGCTGGGGGAACTTTGCGATGTTTCGCACCGGAGGTTGTGTTTAGTTGCCGCTGCCCGTTGGGCGAACGATGCGGCACAGGCGCATCCGCTGTGGAACACGTCCGTGAATGTGGTGGTTCGTTGCTGCCGGTGCCGATGGGAACGAATGTCCGCTAGCTGTGGTGCGGAGAAGCCGCAAACGGTACACCGAAACACGGTCGCGTTGCGAACGAAGATTGAGAGCGTGGCCGTGGTAGCAGGTGGACGTGAGTCGTGAGGCTCGCTCGTCCAGTTGGTGCCGGTGGTGGGCATGGAGGTCGCAGCAGGGACGACACTAGCAGTGGGGTCCCCGTGGTCAGCTGTGTCGGCGTAGCCTGCAGCAGCTGGGACGGCTGTGTCTCGGTATACAGCAACTTGGGCGGCAGTATGGGCGGCGGCAGCTGGTGGCTGGAAGTCGCTAAAGGTTGGAAAATTTAAACACAGCTTCTGTGGAGTCCGACTTCTCCATCTTGAAGTGGAAATTGGGTGACCGACGTACTGCTCTGGCCTCATTATCTATAGAAGGTACTCCGAAGTATATTCCAGGCCTGACCTACTTCACAGCCAAATACCTTAACCTTGCTAATAAGTACAATATATGTTCGGTACATAAATTAGGTATAGTAAACTCAAGTTAAATACTTAATAGCGGCACAATGCCGGTACTAAGATTCTGAAGGCGCCGCTATTAAACTAATACGTCTAATAGAGGCACATGCCGGTATTAAGAAGGTCTGGCTTAGTGAGTGGTTCTAAGATAGTATTATGAAGCAGTTAATAATAAAAAATGAGCTCTAAAACAATGATAAAAGGGTGGGGGCGGCGCACGCGCTCACCCCCGCTGACAAAAATTCTACTGTGGAATTACTCAAAAGAGCATTCCTGAACCCTTACAGCACCGGAGTGCAAGGGGCCTGCTCCGGCTCATGTCAACGCCCTCATTGAGCAGCGTCAAGCACCAGTCAGGTAAGTATGAGTTGTTATTGATTGTGGAACGTTTGGCCTATGCACCTATGTAACCCATACGTACATATATGTATTTGTTGATATTTATGTGCTGGTCGATCTACATTTTGCGATGCCGGTACTATAATACTGTATTACACATATTATGTGTACAGCTTTTCTGGTGAGCTACATGTACGTTTGGTAATGCAACAACAACTTGAGTCTTGCATTATTAGTGTAAATGCACGGTTCCTGGTACTGATGATGTTGGTGCACACTTGCATGGGCCATTTTAACAACCACATTGATTCATAGCGACAAAAATCTATTCTGCTGCACACTTCACCTGAAACTCACAGCAAAACCACGACTGCAGCTACAGCAACCTTTCCAATTCCTACAAAGCAGGATTAAAGAGACCTTGATGAACATCGAAAACAACGGTAAGAAACTTGTACCCAGAGCTGTTGCACAGAGAAGTGGCTGACGTAACTCGTTCTGATTGGGTATTAGACTCCGGTTGCGGCTACGGTTTAACGGCAGACACAACGTTGTTTGTGCGAAAGTAAGCAAGCGAAGAGTTTAGGCTTACGTTCGGAGAAGGGACTAAGCTCGGTAATACACATGTTTAAATTGTGAAGCTCTACTTTCAGGGTCATGATGGAATCAGGCATTTGAATTTGATAGTATGGCACTGGTATCTACGGCAAAG